GTTGTTCATGTTAACTAATGCATTCCTTCATGTTAGTCAGTCAACACTTAATGTAAAGTGTTACCCAAAAATTACACAGCAAACACTTCTGTCTTTAGAGCAATAATCTAAAATCTGGTCAAGACTAGTAGAATAGTCTAGATAGTTTTGTTGTTATAAGTAAATGTATCTGGTAAGATCAAATTTTATTGGTAGAAAACTGTGCTGCTTCAGAACAATTCAGGATCATTTTACTTATTTAGTAAGTAAAGTAAGTAGTAGTAAGTAGTACGTAAGAAGCAAAATTATCTGCCAGTGCAATAAGAAAATTTAGCTAAATAAAATTACTTAATATTAGCAAAAAAATCTCAAAAATATGTTAAATAATCTTATATCCTTACAGCAATGCTATAGGCTGTGTAACTGACTGGCTTGAACAAAATATTTCATAATATTTTACTTCATATGTTGCTTAAACTTTTCTCTTTTCCAGCTATTAAACACCCGTGCAGGTACCAATACTCAGTTTAAAATCTCTGGAGAAGGAGTGGATGGAGTGAATGACCTCTTTGCTGTGAATAAGGCTGGAGAGATCTTTGTTATGGCGACTTTGGATCGGGAGAAGAAAAGCTCCTACAAACTGAAAGCTCACCTCGTTGACACCATCACCAAACAGCCCCTGGACGACGATATAGAATTCACTGTAAAGGTACAAGACGTTAACGACCACGCGCCAGTCTTCTCTGAGACCTACACTGGATCCATCAGGGAGCGCTCACGCCAAGGTACAGGACCATCTCACTAAATCTCACTGAAGGTGTTTTCAGGCTGCTAACAGCTTCATAGAGTTAAAGTTGCACCTTCTGCTACTTACTGTGTTCATTTTCACTAAACTGCTACCTCAGCCATGATACTCACTGTATCTGCTGCTCTTTCACTTCTGCACTCAGTCACTTTATATGCAGTCACTTTAATCGGTACATTGACTGCAGTTTTATTAGTGTTTGTGATTGCATTACAAAACTATTGTTAATTATCAGCGCATTGATAAACAGTACACACAGAACTGTCATTGCTGCCATGGTCTGTTTTCTCTACTATCCTGTGCTCAGCGACTGTATAGTTGAAATTATGGTACATTTAGAGAAAAATGTATAGTTTGTATTTGTTGTGTTTATGATATGCTGCTATTCTCTGTTGAATGTAGCACCGTGTCCTGGAGAAATTACATTTTGTTCCTCTCTCAACACAACAGTGATGAGAAGGAATAACAAAGCTCAGTAGGACTTTGAACACTGACGTACTGACTTATTGACCTGCACACAGTTTAGCGCATACAGTCAAGTCCAAAAATGTTTGGGCATCAACAGTGTTATTGTTGTTTTGGCAGCCAACCACAGCATATTGGAGTTAAACTGAAATAATAAGCTTTAAGTGCAGTCTTTCAGCGTTTAAGAGTATCCAAATCAGGTGATCAGTACAGGAATTACAGCTATTTTCACACATTTTTGGGGCTCAAATGTAAAAGCTTCACTGCCAGTGAAGAAGCCATCATTGGGTTGAAAAATCAAAACAAACCCATCAGAAGAACAAGAACACTGGGACCAAATCAACTACTTAGTACATACTTAAAAAGAACACAACAGCTCAGAAACTCTATTGGATGACAGAAGAATTTTTTTTCCAGTGAAGAAAAACCCCCTTATAACAGTTCAGCACCCTCCAGGAGGTCAGCACATCTGTGTCAAAGTCAACAACTGAGAGAAGACTTAATCAGCTTGAGCTTGGTAAGCCTCAAAAACAGGAAGACCAGATCACATCTAACAGCCTTCAAAAAATGGTATCTTGGCAAGTGAAATTATCTTAAATCTGGTCAATATATCTAATATTTCCCATTATGATGATGTTATTGTAAAGTGTCAGCCTATGCTGCCACCAGCAGAGGGCAACAGCAGCAAGGCACTGTTACTCCAGGAAATTCAGAATCCCAGAATACCAAGGGGTAATCAGTGCCAACCAGGTGCACCTGTTGGTACCGGCATTTAAGGCTGTGGCAGACAGCACATCCTTGTCACGCCTTTGTAGAGGGCTGACCGGTACGGTATTTAGCCCAGGTGGGTGTTTAGACAAAAGAGAGACAAAGAGAAGAGTAAAAAGAGAAAACAAAGAGGAGAAAACAGAGCACTGCTCTAGGTCAGCTGACTGAGGAAAAAAAAGAAGGAAAAAAGGAAAAAGTAAACATTGTGTTGATTTAAGACAAGGAAAAAAACAGAGAAAATGCTGAAATAAAGCCAGCTCCCCATCTCTCCAACTGGCTCTGCATCAAAAAGTAACTGCCCTAAGTCAAAGTTTATTCATAACAGGTGTTAAATATTATTTTATTTCATTTTACTTTATTTGTTCCTTATTAACTTTGTAACTTCTCTTAAACCTTTTCCCTGTTTTTCCCTTGCCTTTTTGTATTAATCTCGTTTGCATTTTGTATGTTTCTCTTGGGTGATGTGTGGGGGCTGTGGAGAGCAGTCTTTTGACATTTAACGACCCCCAATGGTTAGCCTATCTCACATCTGGTTATCTATAGCCCCCCAATCTAGCAATGCCATTTGCTGATGGTGATATCTCGGACCCATCCTGGTTCCTAGGGTGGGCCTCAACACCTCTATTTTAATTACAAAGGTACAGGCAGTTGTCCATTCTGTGGGGGGTTCCGGGGGTTCGTTAAGACAAAGAGACAACTGAGGGTGTGGTTTACATTTCGTGACTATAAGTTTGTCAGTGTGTAAGCTACTTTAGACTTGTTTGGTTAGGAAGACGCGCGTTCAATAAACTTCATTTTCCTCAAGTCTCCACTCCTGTTTGCTTCAAAAAAACCAACGCCTGACAGCAGAAGTCAACACAGGCGTGGTCACAAAACAGCTTTACAGAAAAATCCAAGCCCGAGGCCCCATGACCGTCACCAATGGCGACAATGGCAGGAAAAACTCTCTATGAGCAAGAGGAGGAAACCTTGAGCAGAACCAAGTCTCAAAGGGGAACCCATCCTTCTCTGGATGACATCTGATAGCAAACAATAACACAAGCAAAACGAACAGAGAATAAGATTTTACCATTAATATAAAATATTAAAATACAGAAAAGGGGAAAAACAGGTGAAGCAATGGCTCTGATTAAATAGGTTGAGTCTGTGCAGCAGCAGCATCATCAGGAGGGTCACCTGATGCCCCCTCAGTTACTCAGTCAACCGATTACATTTTTACATACTGCATTTACAGGAATAACAATGCAAATGTGGTATTTTTACAGGAGCTGCAGTGCTGACTGTTAGAGCCACTGATGCAGATGATCCAACATCTCCCAATGGAAACGTCACATATAAGTTGTTGAATGGAATACAATATTTCAGCATTCACAGTACCACAGGTACAAATACAAAAGTACTTTGTTCATTTTTTATATTTTCACATCATTCAAAAATGCCAGCTGCTCTTTACATTATGTGAACATTAAATGATGAACAGACCAACACAAACACTTGAAGATACAGATGAAATGATAGCTAACTCAATATAATCTAATATTTTTAACCATGGATTATTAAGAATTTTACATCTCAATCTATAATTTTTTCAACCCAAGATTATTTAACCTATTTTTACATTTTTAATTGCTGACTTACTGCACTGGCAGATTGTTTTGCCAACAGAATAACAATATTTCACAGCAACAACTGTCTGGAAATATATTGACATGAGCTGTTTTGAGTCTTTCTCTCTCTCTCTCTCTCTCTCTCTGTTTGTATGCGTGTATATATATATATGTGTGTGTGTGTGTGTATACAGACACACACACACACACTATATATATATATGTGTGTGTGTGTATATATAAACAAACATTTTACTGACATTGAAGCATCAGCACCGCTATGGTGAGTTAGCAGCTTGTCTTAATGTTCCTCAGCACAATCAGTGAATCCACATGTTTTTGCTTGTTTTAGGTGAAATCACTGTTCAGGATAACAAACTGGACCGTGAGACTCAAAGTCAGTATATACTGACTGTCCAGGCCTCAGATTTACCTGGCTCACCTGGAGGACTCAGTACAACCACCATAGTGACCATTAATATAAACGATATCAATGACAACATGGCAACCTTCAAAAAAGGTATGTGAGCTCTTAAATGGCGCGTGTGGACATTCGGCTCCTCGTAAAATCTCAGTATCCCACCAAAAATCTGCATTCAAACAGCTGACAAAGTGGTCAACATTAGTAGTAAACTAGTTCTATGTTAGCTGAGTTTAGCAGTTGTGACACCAGAATGTTCTCTGATACCACATGGATTCTGCAGATCAAGCTGGCCAACAGTGTAGTCAACCAGCACTGTACAGAAATTTAAATCTTAAATTTAAAATTAGGTGAATGTAAACTCTTAAGATAATTTACAGCTTGCTCCAGTTATGCCAACTTGAGGGCACCAAACTTCTTTCTTACCCTTAGTAAATAGTTCTAACTTTTTTTTTGCACCGAAGCTCAGCTAGGTTAACATTAATTTACTTTTAATATTAGTATTTATTATATGTTCTAGTACACTGAAGAAAAGATTTCAGTGTTCAGTTTGAGTTCAATGAAGCTGCATATTTACAGAACTATTACCATGTTTTACCTTCTGTTAACGTATAATTTGAAGCTCTATAAAATTGAAATTTTAGGCACACTACTTACTTTTTTAAATCAAAACACAGAAATACTTCGACAGTTGCCCCACCCAGAATCCCCCACAAATCACTTAAATCTCTTTAATACATTATAAAAATGATTTAGTTCTTTATATATTTAGACAACAGTTTATCACACTAGATCCATACAAGTCTTTCACTTCTCTTGTTATATGCGGTGTTCCTCAGGGCTCACTTCTTGGACCCCTACTTTGCTTAATCTACATCTCACCCCTTGGCCAGATCATTCGTAGCCACGGCTTTAACTTTCACTGCTATGCTGATGATATTCAGTTATATCTCAGTACACAGTCCCCCTCAGACTCCCCACCCAGTACTCTACCCTATTGTACTTCTGATTTAAAGCTCTGGATGCACGATAACTTTATCATGCTAAACTCTGATAAAGCTGAAGTCTTATTGGTTGGTCCTAAATCTTTTAATATCAAAATCATCCAGTATTTTTGTTAGTACTGATGGTCTGCTTGTTAAGCCTGCACCTGTTGTCAGAAATCCATCACTTCATTTTAACCTACCCTATGTCAAGTTCCCTACAAAGACTGCATTCTTTCACTTATGTAACATTGCTCATCTTCGCTTGTTCGAGTGATAACAATGCAACTTTGGTATATGCCTTCATTATATCCCATAATGATTACTGTAAATCCCTCTTTGTCGGTCTCCCTGTAAAGTCTATACAAAAGCTACAGCACATTCAGATCTTTGCAGCTGCAGTTCTCACCTATATTCAGCTCACATTACTCCCGTTCTCTCTCAGTTACACTAGCTACCGGTCCCGTCCCGTATGAAGTAAGTAAAATTTTACTACCCACTTTCAAAGTCCTGCATAACCTTTTACACTCCCTCTCGATCTCTCAGGTCTTCCTGTAGTAACTTACTTGCTGTCCCAGCACCAGACTTTCCACTTTGGGAGGTGGGTCCTTCAGTGCCATGGCCCCCAAACTCTGGAACTCTCTTCCTCAAACCCTCCCTGACTGCTCTTCTTTCTCTACCTTCAAATCTAATTTAAAGAGTAACTACACCCCACTATGTTCAGCTAAATCCACCCCTGGCTCAACTTTGAAAAATGCTCAAAAATGGGAAGGGCACGCTGGCAGGGGCACTGCAGTGATCTGCAGGTTTGGAGGTGGGGCTGCAGGAGGAAACCAGCTGGGCTGGGCTGCTGTGTTTTTAGAGCTAGCCTACGTTAGCTACCAGAAAATATAGAAAGTGACAGAAGTAAAAATGCCGTTTGAAACTGAGAGTCTTACAAGTTTGATGATTCTTCTCTATTACCATCCCCATCTTCGATGAGGAAAGCTGTTTTGAGCCCTAACAGTATCAGCCAATGACTCAAGCCACCGAAGAGTTAACATAGTGACAGAAAATGATTAGCAGTGAGTGGCAGAGGCGTCTGAACGGCAGAACATTCCCTAAAACCGTGACAGCTTTGTTCAGCAGGTCCGTATTCGATATATAGCCCGCATCCACATTTCTTGGATGCACTGAATCCCAAATGAATAAAGTGGATTTCTTTGAACACTTTCATTCTTTCATTCAGTTTGACATCAAGGTCACAGACTGCATCACCGCTCAGTCAGGGTTTGCTGCAGTGGCTCTAAATCCTTGCGTTCTGCGAGCTGTTCATGGCACTTACTGGTGTTACATCCAATTCAGTTCCCTCTCAAACTCCCATTCCCCTTCATAAATCGATTCTTGGGCACCGCACTCACTGAACAGAAATCAATGGCAAGCAGCACTGGAACTATGGAAAGTGGGGGGAAAAAACTAGGGCGTCATCAGGGGGCGGTAACATTGTTTGACTGATTTGCATACTGTGACGTGTCTTTGTACTTCGATTCAGAGACATGTCGTTCACGTCTTTCATGATTTTTTCCCTTCTTCCTTCACTGCTTAGTCTTAGGTTTGTCCTTTATGTAATGCGACCTTGGGATTGTGAAAGGTGCTATATAAATGTAACTTATTATTGTTATATAAAACATATACACATATAAATAATCAGGGTTAAAAATCTAAATTACATTTACATTTACATCATTTAGCAGACGCTCTTATCCAGAGCGACTTACAAAAAGTGCTTTGTCTATCCAGAGAAAGAATCTTCGCTAGCTACCGATAGGTTAGAGAGAAAGTCAGTCCTAAGCTCAGATACTGGTAGAATCAGAAGGTCATTGACACCTAGTGAAAAAGGGACAGAGTTAAACACAGAACAGTGCAATACGATAAAATACATAAGTGCTGTACAATACATTACAATCAATACTTAATTTAGTGCTCATTTAAGTGCTGAATAAACAGGTGTGTCTTCAGTCTGCGTTTGAAGACAGCGAGAGACTCTGCTGTACGGACAGCCAGTGGGAGTTCGTTCCACCACCTGGGTGCCAGCACAGAGAACAGTCTAGTTGCTTGCCTTCCACGCGCCTTGAAGGATGGCGGGTCAAGCCGAGCTGTACTCGAAGCTCGAAGGGCTCGTGGTGCAGTTCGAGATTTGACCATTGCCATCAAGTAGGGAGGGGCTGGTCCATTTTTGGCCTTGTAGGCAAGCATAAGGGTTTTAAATCTGATGCGTGCAGCTACAGGAAGCCAGTGAAGGGAGCGCAGCAGTGGGGTGACGTGGCTGAACTTTGGGAGATTGAAGATGAGTCTTGCTGCTGCATTCTGGATGAGTTGCAGAGGCCTGATGGCCTGCATCGGAAGACCAGCCAAGAGCGAGTTGCAGTAGTCAAGCCTTGAGATGACAAAAGACTGCACTAGCACCTGAGTGGCCTCTCTCGAGAGAAAGGGTTGGATCCTCCGGATGTTGAACAGCAGAAATCTGCATGACCGAGTTATGTTCACAATGTGAGTCGAGAACGATAACTGGCCATCCAAAACCACACCAAGACTTCTTGCCTCTGCTGACGGGACAATCAGAGAGTTCTCGAATGAGATGGCAAGATCTTGATGAGGACCTGTAGTTGCAGGGATGAATAGTAGCTCAGTCTTGCTAGGATTGAGCTTCAGGTGGTGAGCTGCCATCCATGAAGAGATGTCAGACAGACATGCCGAGATCCGACTGGAAACCTGTGTGTCCGAGGGTGAGAAAGAAAGCATTAGTTGAGTGTCATCAGCATAACAGTGATAAGAGAAGCCATGAGATGATATTACATTGCCAAGAGAGCTAGTGTAAAGAGAAAAGAGAAGAGGACCTAGCACCGAGCCTTGTGGGACACCAGTGGAGAGCCTGCATGGAGAGGATATGGACCCTCTCCATGTTACCTGATAAGAGCGATCCTCCAGATAGGACTTGAACCACTTCCACGCAGAGCCAGTGATTCCAAGGTTGGTGAGGACATCCAGAAGGATTGTGTGGTTGACCGTGTCAAAAGCTGCTGAGAGGTCAAGAAGAATCAGGACAGATGACATACTGGCTGATCTTGCTGACTGGAGCTTCTCTGTCACTGCTATAAGAGCAGTTTCTGTTGAGTGCGCTGGTTTGAAGCCAGACTGGTTGGGGTCCTGGAGCTGGTTCTGCGTGAGAAAGAGAGACAGTTGATTATAGACTGCACATTCAAGAATTTTTGAAAGGAAAGAAAGGAGTGATACCGGTCTGTAGTTGTTGACATCAGAGCTGTCAAGCGAGGGCTTCTTCAGGATGGGAAGTACTCTTGCAGTCTTCAAAGTTGATGGTACTTCACCTGATGACAAGGACTTGTTAATGAGAAAAATGATGAAGGGCAGTAGATCCTTGGAGATTGACTGGAACAATGCAGATGGAATGGGATCCAGTGGGCAGGTGGTTGGGTTACTGGATTTGATCAGTTGAAGGACAGCGTCTGTGGAAAGAGAAGAAAAACAGTTTAAGAGATTGAGAACGAGAGAAGGAGGTCTAGTGAAAGGAGTGGGGACAGAGGGAAAAGACTGGCGGATTCTATCAACCTTCTCCTCAAAGAAGGTGACAAAATCCTCAGGAGTGAGAGAAGAGGGTGGAGGGGGAGGAGGAGGGTTGAGGAGAGAGGAGAAAATGCTGAAAAGCTTGCGTGGATCAGATGCTGATGCTTCCAGTTTCCCTCTGTAGAAGGATGACTTTGCAGCAGTAACTTCGAGTGAGAACTTGGAAAGTAGAGATTGGTAGGAGTGAAGATCCGAGTCGAGCTGGGATTTCCGCCACCTTCTCTCAGCCTTCCTTAGTTCTTGCCGGTTGCTGCGCAGGACACCTGTCAGCCAGGGGGCAGGTGGGGAAGATCTTGCTGGCCTGGAGGAGAGAGGACACAGAAAATTAATTGCAGATGAGAGTGAAGAAAGGAAAGCATCTGTAGCTGTGTCCAGTGAGAAAGAAGAAAATGAATCAGGATGGGGAAGAGTGGTTAGGATAGTTGAGACGAAAGAGGAGGGAGGAGTGGAGTGCAGGTTGCGTCGAGAGGAGCGTGAAGGAGTGGAATGGACAGGAGCAGCAGGTAGGAGAAGTGAGAAAGATAGGAAGTGGTGATCAGAGCAGTGAAGGGGAGTTACTGTGACATCCAGCGTGGAGGTAGGTCTGGTGAAAATCAGGTCCAAAGTGTTGCCTGCTCTGTGCGTCGGAGAAGTCTGGTTGAGGGAGAGGTCGAAGGATGACAGCAGTGGTAACAGGCCGGATGACTGCAGTTTGTCCGATGGCAGGTTGAAGTCACCCAAGAGTATGAGTGGGGTTCCGTCGATGGGGAAGAGACTCAGAAGAGTGTCTAACTCATCAACGAAGTAGCCTAGAGGAGAAGGAGGACGATAAAGGACAATGATGTGGAGTTTAGTGGGGAAGGATACAGTGACAGCATGGTACTCAAAGGAGGAAATTGAAAGATGAGAAAAAGCAAGTGGAGTGAAACGCCACTTTCTGGATAAAAGCAAACCTGTGCCACCACCCCTGCCAGACTGTCTCGGAGAATGGGAGAAGTGAAAAGCAGAGGACAGGGCTGCTGGAGTTGCTGAATTCATGGGAGTGATCCAGGTCTCTGTCAATGCCAGGAAGTGCAGTGAATGGAAGGATGCGAGGGCTGAAATGAAGTCTGCCTTCTGCACAGCGGATTGGCAATTCCAAAGCCCACCTGTCACCCTGGTCTGAGATTCTGGCGATCGTGGAGGATAGGTGAGGTTAGTGGAATTACGGGTTCTGTGACGATGGATGGTTCTATGCGATCTGTGGGAAGAGTAAACAGGGATTGTAAAGCACATGATGGACACAACACTATTAAGAAAATTAATTTCTTAATAAATAAAAAAGAATGTAATATAACCATTACTGTTCTTTTAACTTACTGTTTTTAACTTAAATATGTAAAATTAAATTACATTTTCCTAATAAAGTGTTTAATGAGCCAGATTGTGTCAGACTAACATTTTGTTTTCTTTACTAATAAAACAGTTACACAGATTCTCATATCACAGGTTGCATTAATTATAATGAGACATTAACTTCTGTATCACTGTATCATAATGTATGTAAATGACTACCTGTAGAACAGGTGAGCTCTATCGCTTAGCAACCAACAATACACATCTTTAATGCAGTGAGTGACGCGTCCCTGAACCAGTTAGTGATCTTCACTCAAACACAAACTGATCAAAGCGATTTGGTGATGTGACAGTTTTCCAAAGATGTCTGAATGCACCATAAACATAATTTAAATTTGAATGTAAATATTTACATTTCATCAATAAATGATCTAAAAAGAACCACAACTTGTTTCCTTTCAGGATTCTTCAGCTTTAAAGTGAGAGAGAACGAGGGGCCACAGTTTACAGTCGGCACGTTACCTGTGGAGGACCGGGACGAGAAGCAGAACAAAAAACCCACATTTATTGTGCAGAACTTTAATGACATCTTCTACGTGGAACCGGATGACCAAAGCGATGGAGCTCTCAAACTCAGAAAGGTGACTTTACTCATTTCAAGACTACAAACAACAGAATTACAGACTAGAACAACCTCGTTCAGATTATTTAAACATGCAATTAAGTGAGTTAGTTCATATGAATTTGTAGGGGTGCTGATAATTGAACTACCCAGGCTCCGCCCACAAATGTTTTATTCATAGTTACTGCTGCAAAACTGGTAAAAGTCCCACTCAGTTTTTACAAAATACCTCAATTACATGACAAAATAAACCCAGTGTGACCTTTAACACACAAACAAAATGTTTCATTTGAAATGAATAGCTGACTTTAAATGAGGGTATTGTGATATACACTTAGTGTTCTAATGTTTAATAGGATTTTTATCAGCATTCTGTAAAACAAAGAACATATTAGTAGGCGGAGCCTGAACACTGTAACAAGCAATGATTTTGTTCTTGGTGTAATTTGACTTCATTGAAATGTTAGATTTCTCACAGTTTCATTTATAAACAACAAAGACTAGTTTTTACCGGTGAGGATAATTCTAGGGGCCACTGTAGACGCCTGCATTCCACACACTGTTCCCTTTAAAATAACATTATTTAAATTAAGCAATATTGATTTTCTCTCCAAAAGATGAACAGCAATTTCTAAGGTACTGAAGGTCTATCTGCATGTGAAATTTGAGTTTAATCGTGCCTCTGTTGACTAAAATTTCATAACAGAAATGATCATGTCTCTTTAACGACTGTGATAAATGATGGCAAGCAAAACTAGATATACCAACTAGTTCTAATATAAGATCTCATTTTGAGATTACTGTACGCTTACTAAAAGATTATATGATGTATTTCTATGAGACATTTTCTTGAAATGAACAAAATTATCTGCCAATATAATGAGAATTTTACATAATACAAATCACTTCAAATATGTGAAATACATCCAGAAGTTAAATAATCCTATAATTAACAGCAATCTCAAAATTAGATATTAGATATCAACTAGTTTCAAGATAATTACACCTGATCTTCTGATAAACTTTGTCATTTAAAGATAATTATGGGAGAAATAAACAATTATTAAATTTTAGCATTTAATCAAAACAAATTAGCTGATGGCTGATACCCACTAATCTAGCTTATTTATGTGTACTTCACCACCTTTACCACATGGTGTAAATCCATCCAATATTTTTAACATTTATGTCATAATTTCCTCCAGAACCTGGACTATGAGACCAGTTCGACATACAGCTTTAAAGTGGAGGTCAGAGAAGACAACGTGGCTCAGCCTCCAGATAATCAGGGATCCATGCTGACCACTGTCCAAGTGTACATCACTGTGATTGATGTTGATAAACCACCGGTCTTCAGCAAGGCGGAGTACACCTTTGACGTCCTAGAGGGCCCGATTAGAAATAAAGTCATCGGCTCAGTTTCAGCCAGGGACCCGGACAGGACCAACTACAGGATAAAGTAAACTATATTCTATATACACTGTTTGTTTACTGCTATAATCCGCAATCAATAGAACCACTAGTTTTCATTGTTCATCGTAAAATATGTTTTTTAAAGTGACAGTTTGAACAGAACCCTTTATCCCAAACAACGAAGACATGTTTAGTGTCTGAATTTTTCTTCATTAATTTGCTTTACTGTGGGTCAGTGTTCATAAGGCTACATGACACCTGCTCATAAGCTCTTCATGACCACTGACACAGACCTACACAAACATTTAAAAACACTAATTCCAACAGGCATTATTTGTCCTAAAGGTTGCATTTTCCACTTTTGATCTCTAGTTGACATAACCTTGATTATTTTCTGACATTAGTTTGTGACTTTCTGAGGTAAAATCAGACTTTGTATCTCAGTGAACATCACAGTGACATAATGCTGATAATATGAGGTAGCTCACCACAACAGACTCAGTGAACCAAAGTGAACATTTTCTGAGGCCCTTATAGGGAACCTGTTCTGTTTTTCTGGTTTTTCTCTTTCCTTTGTTGTAACTGTTTATGCATGTAAACAGTCTGTAAAGTCCCAAAGCTTAGCGTTCCCTCCAGAGGGAGAAACTCTCTCTCACAGAACCCACTTTTCTCAGCTTTTCCTTTGTTACAGGGTGACTCAAGCTTGGACACATTCATATTTTAACTGCATAATAATTAAATTATTGGGAAAGGCGTTACAAATGTTTTGAACGGCTGAATGTAATTCAACCCTTAAATTACAACTCAAAATTACATGAGTGACTTTTACAACAGTTTGTGGCAACTGAATGCCTTAGAAATACATCATGAATAAGCGTGTAACTGCTTACTCATAACAGTCAAGCTTATTAAACACAGGGAACGAGAAAATCTTACACTATACTTAAAGCAAACAAGCAAATATGCAATGCAACTATGACGGTATACCTTTTTTGGTGTTCTTGAAATGATGAAATGAATTGGTGAATATGCAATGAAAATCGGATGACCCCACCTCTACAAAGACAAAAGAGGCATTCCTTTAACCCCCAACACCAGTTCCACAAACACATCCAACACACACAAACACAAAAAGAAGAAATAGGTCAAACTGACTCCATGAGGGCCTGAGGCCTCACTCAAGGCCTCTTTTATTATAAAAATAAAAGAAAAACAGTTAAACCATAATCCTGCAGAGAATCCTCTCTCTTCGTCTATGTAGACAAAGGTGCACTTTCTCTCAGATCTTGCAACACGTTTTCCATCAGACGCTGGAAGGTAGTTGCAGCATTTTTGAGTCCATAAGGAAGATGTGTAAATTCATATAACCCCTGACAAGTAATGAAAGTAACCTTTGGTATGCTAGACTCGTCGATACCTACTTGCCAGTACCTGCTTTTCAAGTCTAATATACTGAAAATGCAAGCACCATACAAGGACTCCAAGATCTCCTGTATCTGAGGCATGGGGTAGACATCCAAATGAGTCTTGGCATTTAACCCATGGTAGACAACACAAATACCCTTTCCTGGGTACCAGAACAACAGGGGAGGCCCAAGGTGAGACGGAAGGCATTATGTTCTTCTCCAGCATGTCATGGATTTCCTGTTCAATGAACCTCTGCTTCTCCAGTGACACCCTGTATGCTTTCTTTCTGATGGATATTTGGTTGGGTGTGTTAATCTGACGCTTGAGTCTGGCCACTGAAGCAATAAGTGGTGGAGTCTGTCTGAAATGTCAACATCAGTCCCTCAACAGATCAAGATGTTGCAGGGTTTGTTAAACACTTTGCAAAGATTGGGCTATACACAGTTGCAGGGTATCTCACAATGAGGTTAGTGTTTCACTAAAAGGAAAAAAAACAGGGAAACACTCTCTGCACCTGGTAACTGAGAAGAGGACTGCTGGAAGTTAATGGTTACCCCAGCTCTGTGAAGAAGTGAAGTCCATACCCAGAACCAAAGAAAATGCTAGATCTCTGAAATTGTATGTGCAGGACAACAGAGTCAGCCCACGCTCATAGAACCTGCAGTCCCATTCAACCATACCTAAAGCATGCTGCACTGCCCCATTAGCCAAAGAAATGTCCTCCTGAAGGCTTCCAGACCTCCCTAAATGCTTTTAACTTCTCCCAAAGAGAATACCTTATGAGGGAATAAGTACTTCCTGTGTCCACTAGTGCATGTATGCATTATTTGGAACTTGATCTGAATAGGGAAAGCTACTGGCTGCCTTGGGTTGGTTCTGGTGACAGGTTTTCCCTCAGTATCAGGCATTTGGTATGCAAAAGTGTTTTTTGGCTTGCTGGGGGGAGGAGGTCTCTTCTTCTCAGCTTCACTGTTAACACGTTCACCTGAGATAGATGTTTCCACCTGAGACAAAGAGCACGGTACTGGCATGCAAAGTCTCTGAGGCTCTCGGTGGTCCCTTGTCGCCTTTCATGAAGACTTCTTTCTACTTTTGCTTCATAGTCATGCGTCAGAAAGGATTTCAGAAACACTGGTAGAAACAATGCTAGATAGGGACAGTAAAAGTTAAGACATGGCAGACAGGAAAGGCAGTGGATAGCAGGCTGTCAATCTTCTTGTCTCTGCATTTGAGACAATACACTACTGATTGACCTAGGTCCTTTAACTTGAGCTCCACAATCTCCATGATGTGCTTAGTTTCTCTTTCCATTTTGTAGCACATTTTCTCCTCCTAAGCTTGTTTCTTTCTGATCAGATCCTGGTACCTCTGTTCCAAGTCCCCCAGTCCACTGTCCAGATCGTACATGATCCGCATTTTATCTTCCAGAGCTGCCAACCTCTGCTCACAACCTACACTAACTGCTGAAGAAGTCTGACTGTCCTGGTCATGTAGGAGTTCAGATGGAGTTGGAGGAATATCTAGGTCATCTCCTTCACTGATGTCATCCTCCTCTTTCTCAGAATCCAGATACAGACTACTAAGAGTCCTAATGATGTTATTGAAATGTTCCCACCTTGTAACAAAAGGACCAGCAGTGTAGTTAAGTGGTTGGCTAGGCCCATCCAATACCTCAGGCTGAGTGGCTGAAATGTTGTGTGGTGGTTGGAAAATGCCTGTTTTTTTTTTTCTTAGAAATGTAAAGACAAAAGAAATCAAACAGTCCCAGTACGGGCCACCAAATATAACACCCAGCAGGACCCCTTTCCCACTGGATCTATAAAAAACGCAGGGAACGAGAATGTCTTAGACTGATAAGCAATATAATATATACAATGGTATACCTTTTTTGGTGTTCTTGAAATAATGAAATAAATTGGTGAATATGCATTGGAAATCGGATGACCCCACCTCTACACAGACAAAAGAGGAATTCATTTAATCCCCAACACCAATTCCACAAACACATCCAACACACACAAATACTAAAAGAGGAAAGATCAAATTGACTCCATGAGGGCCTGAGGCCCCACTCAAGAGTCTAAATAAAAATAAAATAAAACAAAATGTCAAACCAGTTCTTTTTGGAGAATCCTGCAGAGAAGAACGGAAGCTGGGCAATAACGAGTTAATCGCATGGGAAAATGTCCATCACCACCCTTTCATAAAATTTTCTCAGGTTCATCCTTTTACATGCCTTTCTTGTCTCCAGCAGTTCACAAATAAGCACCAAAAAATCCTTCTGCAAGCACAGTTCTTCTTCTTCTTCTTCTAGTTATTATTATTATTATTATTATTACTACTCTTTTTCCCCTGAAAAACTTGTTGTGGAGACAAGAACATAAGTCCTAGAGACACCAAACTGGGTGGATAGGTGTAGTTTTTGTGCATCTCACCAGACAACAAAAAATTACCCCGATTGGCCAAAGGGTGCACTACAGAGCAGCAAAGCATGTTTGGTTCATAACTCCTAAACCAAAAGGTTTAGACACAATTCTCTTTTTCCTGATTCCTTTGTCAAAACAAACAATTTTGCAATCTGGACCATTCAGCTGCACCCACTTAGATTTTTTGCTAATTTGCATAATATGCAAAACCTTTTATAAAACTAGTCCTAGGTTTTTTGCCTAATTCTCATGTTTCTGGTTTCAAAAAATTCAGAAGTCTGTTCATCAATATTCATCAAAAACACCTTGACTTTTGTAAACAATATGGCTGCCATATGCTACTTAACCCTTCTGAAATAATTCATAATTCATTTAAAACTCTACATCTCAAGAATGCTTCACCCAAAAAATGTAAACTTGACAGACATATTCAGGACAAGATGCTGTGGTATCATGTACATTTTGGTGGGCATATGTCATTAGGGGGTGGTATAATTGCCAATTAACTGTTTCTCAGCATCCGTACATCCAATTGAGCTAAAACAGATTTGGCCACTGGGGGCGCTATTCATAAACAATTAATTATTACATGGTTTTAATATATTATTACTACTTTTGAGCTATATGAATCTACCATAATACAGTGTGGCAAACAAATTTGTAATTACAATTTTATTTCAAAAATTCATTTTTTGTGTAGTCGTTAACTGTTTGAAAACATATTTTTTGAACTAGTCCCTGGATTTTGATCCAAACTTTTTGTAATTGGTCTAGACGTACTCTCCGGCCTGTCTAGGTAAATAATTATTAAATTAACATGATGTTTCTCTATCAATTCATCACTGCAGCCATGGCATTGCTGGCTTGATTTGCTATAACTCATCAGTCTTTGGTCCTATCATCTTAAAGCTTTAAATATTTGTATATATTTAGACTCTGATGGGGTTTGCAACATTTGTTCCAGATTGGCCCTTAGGAGGCACAATAGCACTTAAAACCTAAAAGTGCTAAAAATCATTAAAAATGCTATTACAATGTTATTACAAAGTCTACAGATAAACAAGTGGTGCTATTTGATTCGGTTCACTGACCTGAAAAGTAAATCTAATTATATATGTCAGAAATTTCACTCATTGTCTGGTATTTTGGCTTAAATTTGTTTGGCACACTGTACTTTTCACCATGGTTGCCTATTGGCCTGCTTGGGCTGATGTGTGCTTTGGCCCGCT